GCGGGGCTGGGGGGGGGCTGGGGGGCCCTGCCCCTGGCACCCTCCGCCCCCACTGCCCCAGGGCTCCGAGTTCGGGAACTGGGCGCTGGGGCTGTGGTCCGAAGAGGGCTTTGACATCTACGAGGACTTCCCGGATCTCAACTCTGTGCTCTGGGGAGCCGAGGAGAGGAAGTGGGTCCCTTACCGGGTCCCCAACAACAACCTGCCCATCCCTGAGCGCTACCTGTCCCCAGACGCCACGGTGAGGCAGCCAGCCGCCTGGCCAGCAGGGCCTGGGGAGCAGGGGGTCCTGGGCTCCTGGAACTCTGGGCACCGAGACCACAGGGCCTTGGAGGGACGGGCGTGAGGGTGGCGGGGGCTCTGCTGGGGGCCGGGGGCCAGATCTCATGCACGGGCCACCCCAGGTGTCCACGGAGGTCCGTGCCATCATCGCCTGGATGGAGAAGAACCCGTTCGTGCTGGGGGCGAACCTGAACGGGGGCGAGCGGCTGGTGTCCTACCCCTACGACATGGCGCGCACACCCAGCCAGGAGCAGCTCATGGCTGCAGCCCTGGCCGCTGCCCGTGGGGAGGATGAGGATGAGGTATCCGAGGCCCAGGAGACCCCAGACCACGCCATCTTCCGCTGGCTGGCCATCTCCTTCGCCTCCGCCCACCTCACCATGACCGAGCCCTACCGTGGAGGGTGCCAAGCACAGGACCACACCGGTGGCATGGGCATTGTCAACGGGGCCAAGTGGAACCCCCGATCTGGGAGTGAGTCGGTGGGGAAGGGGCCGCGGCGGGGTGCTTGGTGTGGGGTGAGGGTGACCGCGGCTCTGTCTGTCCTGCCCAGCCATCAACGACTTCAGCTACCTGCACACCAACTGCCTGGAGCTGTCCATCTACCTGGGCTGTGACAAATTCCCTCACGAGAGCGAGCTGCCGCGGGAGTGGGAGACCAACAAGGAGGCCCTGCTGACCTTCATGGAGCAGGTGCGGCGCTGGCGGGGTGCGCAGGCCGGGGCGGGGCCGGGCGGGGCAGGGGTCTGCACGTGCACACCACCCCTCGCCCTTCTGCAGGTCCACCGCGGCATCAAGGGGGTGGTGACAGACGAACAGGGCATCCCTATTGCCAACGCCACCATCTCCGTGAGTGGGATCAACCACGGCGTCAAGACAGGTACCTGCGTGCACACCTCTACCCCAACTACCTTCGGTCAGGGCCTAAACCATGTGTGGCAGGGGTCTGCACGTGCACACCACCCCTCGCCCTTCTGCAGGTCCACCGCGGCATCAAGGGGGTGGTGACAGACGAACAGGGCATCCCTATTGCCAACGCCACCATCTCCGTGAGTGGGATCAACCACGGCGTCAAGACAGGTACCTGCGTGCACACCTCTACCCCAACTACCTTCGGTCAGGGCCTAAACCATGTGTGGTCTTGGCAGGTGAGCCCAGGCCTGCCCAGGTCCCTGTTCTGGATGCCCCCAGAGAGGGTCTGCAGCAAGCAGACGGACAGCTGAGTGGTACCAGGGGGCTCTCAGAGAGGAGGACTGGGGCCGGAGGCGTCTCTCCGGCACTGAACCCCGCCTCCCTCTGCAGCCAGCGGGGGCGATTACTGGCGCATCCTGAACCCGGGTGAGTACCGCGTGACAGTCCAGGCGGAGGGCTACACGCCGAGCGCCAAGACCTGCAACGTGGATTACGACATCGGGGCCACCCAGTGCAACTTCATCCTGGCTCGTTCCAACTGGAAACGCATCCGGGAGATCTTGGCCATGAACGGGAACCGGCCCATCCCGCACATCGACCCTTCGCGCCCCATGACGCCCCAGCAGCGGCGTCTGCAGCAGCGGCGCCTGCAGTACCGGCGGCGCATGCGTGAACAGATGAGGCTCCGCCGCCTCAACGCCACTGCGGGCCCAGCCACCCCCTCCACGCTGCCCCCCGCGGCCCCCACACTGCTCCCCACTCTCTCTCTTGCTCCGTCCCCCACCCCCAACTCCACCCTGGGGCCCTGGCACGTTCTGCCCGAGACCACAGCAGCCTGGGAGGACTCTGAGACTGAGACCTACACGGAGGTAGTGACGGAGTTTGGGACTGAGCTAGGGCCGGAGCATGAGGATGAGGAGATGGCGGTCCCCGGCCCGGAGTTCCCCTTCACTACAGTCGAGACCTACACGGTGAACTTCGGGGACTTCTGAGGACAGGCCTGCCAGTGTCGAGCCCATGCTGGTGACCATGCCACCTCTGCCAGCTGGGCAGTCATCACACTAAGGGCCCATGGTGTGGGCATGAATGTAACCAACGCCCAAGAGCCAGGATCTGTGGTAGTCCCAGGCTGCCTGCGGCCTCAGAGAGGCCAGATGCTGCGGACTGGGTGGGGGCAGGCCCCAAATGCACGACAGACTTCTCAGCCAGCTGCCCAGGCCACACCAATAAACCAAGCTCACGGCAGATGCGTCGCTGAGTGCTCATGTGCTGGCCGACTTGGGGGTAGCCGGAGGGTTACCTGCAGTCACTGTGGGTGCCCTCCGCAGGAGGCCTGGCCCAGCATCATATCTGCCCGGAGCCCATCTCTAGGAACTAACCAAGCTTTATTTAGAGAGGAACCACTACAGTGCTGGCCCGGCTGGAACGGGTGGCCGGGCCGCTCTGGGCAGGCTGCCTCCGTGGCTCAGGGGCCCAGACCCAGGTCCTCCAGGTCATCGTCCTCTGCCCCGAAGCCTGAGAAGCTGATAGGCTGACAGGCCAGGTGGCGCAGGTTCACAAGGCAGGCAGTCTGCGTAGCACTGAAGTCGGGGACGGCCACCAACAGCACTGTCTGGCCCTCAGGGCCTGCGGAGAAGCCATGTGGGAACCCACTTTAGGGTACGGGGGAGCCCCGTCTCACAAGGGAGTCACCATGAGTGCACAGGAGTGTCCCACAAGCACTGCGGGAATGCTGACCACAGTGCTTCAGACCAGAGGTGGAAAGGGCTGAGGACACCATAAGGGTCAAAGGGTAACATGCTGCGTGATGAGCTGTGACAGCACGGACCATTTGGGTCAGCACTGGCTGGACCTGGGCTGTCCCCGCCCTGAGGGAGGGGCTCCAAGGCAGGCTTTCTTCTCTGTGAGCACTGTCTCCAGTAGAGAGCGAGTCCCAGGCGACAGCCCAGGTCTGGGGCCCCTGGAAGACGAAACCTACCTCGGATGACCTTGGAGCCAAAGTGGGGGGCGCTGCCACAGAAGTAGACATGCGGGCACTCCAGGAGGATGAACGGGTCGGTCTTGTAGAAAGGGTAGCAGCCTGGGGGGAGGGCCGTGGCTGAGGGTGCCGCTGCTGGCCACGGGTGGGGAGGGGTCCACAGCGCGCTCACAGCCAGCATCCAGCTCTGGGGTTTCCGTTAGGCCATGGCCAGGCCAGTGACCACGAGTCCTCTGGACACCACGGGGGCCTGGCAAGCCGCCCCACGGGGCTGAGGGCCGTCCTTACCCAGGGTGTCGGGGGCTGTGGGGCTGATGTGACGGACTCGCAGGGTCCACTCCAGGATCTCCAAGTGATCCTCCATGCTGCTATACCGGAAGATGTCACTCACGTTCTGGCCCGCCGTGCCCAGGAATCTGCAAGGCAAGGCTGGGCTGACCCCTGCCCTGGGGGTCGCCATCTGTACCCCTCCAAAGCCGGCCCCAAGCTCACCTGGCACTCTCCTCGGGTGTGTCCCAAGCCACTCTTGAAAAGAGCCCAGTTCAGGTGGGCCCTCTGCAGTCTTGGACCCTCCCTTCCTGGTGCCACTGAGTCACAGGCCAGGGCTCAGGCTGGGGTGTGACTGTGCTGGTTACCTGACTCCATCGATGGTGGCCTGGTAGGGGTTGGTGACCAGCTGCAGCGTGGAGTAGGCGGTGGCCAGTGGGAACATGCAGGGGTGCAGGGGCTGCTGGGGGAGCGTGTAGTTGGTTGGGTCAAATTCTCCTGGCATCACGTCCACGGGCACTGAGGCCTGCAGGGCACAGGGCGGGGGAGCTCGCAGGGCCCAGCACCTCCGCACGCAGCCCCTCGGAGCCTCCGCCTCCCTTCTCCACCCGCCTGCGGGTGCCTGTCGGCAGCCCGAGTCTCCAGTCCCACCCCGCCACCCCGCACACTCACACTCAGCTGCAGGAGAATCTCGTCCAGCATCTTGACGGCCTCCACACTGGCCGCCTGGGTTTTCTTGGTCAGGTACTTGGCCTAGGGTTGGAGGCCCATAGGCTGTGAGGCCCAAGCGAGGCTTGGGTCACGGGGATGCCTGGAGCCCCTGCCGGGGTCCCTGGCTGAGAGCAGAGCGAAGCCCCACTCACAGGGGACAGAGGGCAGGGCCCGAGCACAGCAGTCCCTGCATCACCACAGGGCATTGCCCATCAGACCAGGGGGACGAGGAGGGGCTGCTGCAGGCCAGCAGGCGCCATACCTTGTTGATGGAGTCTCTGCTCTGTGTGCTGTGGCTGAGGAGGTTCCCAGCAAGGATGACGCGGGACACTTGGGCGGCGCTGCACTGCTCCCCCTCGTCCCCGAGCTGCCCCGTCACCACATCCACCAGCAGCTGGGTGCCTAGCAGGCTCTCGCCTCCGCCACCACCCAGGCCCAAACCGGACACCAGCAGCACAAACCTGCAGAAGAGGTCAGGGTCCTCCTGGGGGCCACAAAAGCAGGTGCCCCCTCCCCCCAGGTGGGCCACATGGAGTCACAGGTGGGCAAGGACATGGAGCCCAGTGAGTGTGATGCCCCTGGACCACTGCCTGGGCCCCAAGCACCTGCTCCTCACCTGTCCTGGTCAAGAAGTGGAGCAGGCATCTGAGGCGCAAGCTCTGCGAAGCAGCGGTCCTCCACGGCGAACTTCCCGTCGTCCCTCACAGAGCCCAGCACGGCCAGCACCGTCCCTGGGGAGCAGAGGTGTCAGGCCCCAGGCGTGGAATCCGAGGGTCGCACCTCCATCCAGGCACCCAAACTGCAAAGCCTGCTGGTTCTCCTCTGCTTGGCTGGCAAACTCCCACTCAGGATGCTTCCTGCGGCCCCTGCCTTCAGGTTGAGGCAGGAAGTGCTGACTCCCACCTGGGTATCACCCACTGCCTGAACCAAAACCCACCGCTCCGGGAATGAGGGTGGGCCCCAGCGTGTGGACACACAGGCCACTGCCCCACGCCCCACCTGTGACCAGCTTGGACACGTCGATGGTGCCTTCCAGTCTGATGCGCTGCAGCTCATCCTCCAAGACCAGCTCATCATCGGGGTGGATGTACTTGCTGCGAGGCGGCTGGGGCAGCAGGCAGTGCTGGAGTGCAGGCAAAGGGTTGTCTGTGGCCAGAGCCGGCCCAGGCCCCGTGCGCGTCAGCGCCATAGCCCCATAGCCTGGCCCCGATTCCCTGAGTCCAAGACAGGAGGCCCCCAGCCCAGGCCCCGTGCGCGTCAGCGCCATGGCCCCGTGCACGTCAGCGCCATAGCCCCATAGCCCGGCCCCGATTCCCTGAGTCCAAGACAGGAGGCCCCCTGGGTGTCCTCAGGGAGGTGTTCTGGGGAGGCCCACGTGGGCTGGCGGGCCTCACCTCCTCGCTGACCTCCCGCAGGATGGAGGGCTGGAGCGGCATGGCCTTGAAGAGGGTCCCCACTACACAGCATTTCTCCCCAGGCTGCAGCTCAAACAGCTTCTTTATCGGCACTCCACTGCCTGGACACAATGAATGAAAGCTCAGAGACCAGGTGGCTCTCCTGGCACCCCACAGGCTTCGCCTAGCATGACAGCTGAGGCCCGGGCCTCTGCAAGGTGGGGACAGACCGTCCAGTCCAAGGATCCCCTGGGTCTAAAGGGTCACATGGCCGCAGGACAAAGGGACTCGGTGTGGCCGGGCCCTGGATGGGTGCTGATGTGAGAGGCAGACATGCAGAGGAGGCGATTTGACGATGGGACAGAAACTGCAGTGATGTGGCCACCATAAGCGGGGAGAGGCAGGAAAGACCCGCCCCAGAGCTCCCAGAGGGCGCGCAGCCCTGCCCGGTCGCACAGCAGACGTCTGGTCTCCAGCACTAGGAGAGGACAAACATCTACTGTTTTCAGCCACCGAGTCTATGGCTTTGTGTTTGCTACAGCAGCTGGGGAAACTCATACAGAGTGTTACCTCATCTATACCAAACTCTAACACTGGGTTTTGGGAAAAGAGTTATGCCGAGTCTCCACATAGCCCAGTCCTAAAACCGCTGCAAGTTCTTTTAAGAGTGTGGGTTCTTTCACCTGCTCCACAAATGCCTCATCCTCTGAAAACAGAGATCCCTCAAATCCAAACTTCATATTCCCATCTCCTATTCTGCTCCATGGAGTCAGAGCACACAGGAGGACAGGTGTGGCCCTCCGAGGTTGCTCGCGTGAGTGGCAGGAAGGGGTGCAGTTTCCAAAAGTATCTGTCAGTACAGACCCCAAGCCTGGGGACAATGCCGTCAGGAGGTGACGGGTAGAGTGGATGAGGGACCAGCCCCTTCCTTAGCCCAGCTGACTCCAGCATGAGCCCTTCCTGCCGGGAATAACCAAGAACATTCCACAGATCTGCACCCTGAGGAGCAAAGAAGATAAGGAGGGCACCAGCACCAGATGGACGCGCCTGTGGGACGGAGGCCCGAGCACCAGTGCTTCCCGGAGCTCGCCAGCAGTCCCAGTGCGCACCTGGCACTGGGAGCAGTAAAAGCGGGTGAGACACGGCCACCTGCACATATCCAGCTTAGAAACATGAACAGATGATTGAGGGTTGCACGGAAAGCCACTCTTACAAAGGGTGATGATGGGCGACGCAGTGTCACCCAAAAGCTGAAGGTAGGGCCCTGCTGTAGGAGAGGTCACCACAGAAGAAATGAGAAAAAAAAAAAGTTTGCATTAAACACAGGATCAGCCACTGACCCCAGGCCCTGTACTCAGGAGTCAGAAGATTCACGCCCAGCAAGCACGAGAGCCAGGTGGAGACGCACAGACGTCAGTGGACACAGAGGCAGTCCCCTCGAGAGCAGGCAGGTGTCTCCACCGACCTGGCTCCCAGGCAGGGCCTGGCACCTGGCCTGCCACGTGGAGGTGCTTGCTGGCCACAATATGGGCAAACAGACAAATAATCTGCACTGAAAATAAGAAAAACATTTCCCTATGCCAATGAAATGTCACTTACTGCCAGAACTAAGCCCCACCTTGTCCCAGCCACTGTACTAAATCTAACTTTAAATGTACAAATTCCTTAATTTAATCCTCAGAATCACCTGCAGCAGATACTGAGGGACAAAGAGGTTAATCTCCCCAAGGGGACTGGGAAGTGGAATAGTCAAAGGAAGGTTCCAGTTCTTCCAGGCACCCCACCCCCACCCCCGCAC